TTTTATGCTATCATGAATAAGTACATTCCCAGGTAAAATATGATTTACTTACAGTTTTAAAAGTGAATGAAGGTCTAGTATGCTTTGAACTAAACTCTTAAATTTATTTTGATGGTAAAGTAAAAGACTCAAAAATTGTTAAGGTTGTTGAACCATAATTGTCATTGAACTTTATTTTTGTGGCCATAAACATATATAAAATCATAACTCTTACAGTTTATTTGGTGTTCTCTGTGATTTAATGTATTTACCTAAAAAAATTCTATGATAGTGTTCAAATAAAAGGTAGCATTTTGGGAGTACTACCTTATGTGAGATGCTGGGATTACTGTTAGGATATAATCCTAGAAGTACAGGTATTGAAAAAGCTGAACATAAAATATGGAATGCTGTGAAATGTATAATGGGGGTGACATACTCCACTCTGGGGATCAGGGATAGTTTCCCTAGCAAGTTATGCTTAAATTAAAACCAGACAAATGTGTAGGTGGTTGAGTGGGAGTCATGGTGTTGGGGAGCATTCATGAAACCAGAAAGAATTATTACAGTTCTTCCCAGTGCTGTGGGTCATATAAGTCAGATTTTAGAGCCAAAAGAAGCATAGACATAATCTGTACCAGTGGTTTCACTATAAACCCTGGATGCATATAGAATAATGTGTTCTTAAGAATCCTGCCTAGCTGGGCACTGGTGGCTTCCACCTGTAATCCTAGCTACTCAGGAGGCAGAGATCAGGAGGAGTCATCGTTCGAAGCCAACCCACGCAAAAGTGAGACCCTATCTCAAAAAAAATCCATCAGATACAGGCCCTGAGTTCAAACCCCAGTACTGCAAAAAAAAAAAAAAAAACTGCCTATTTGTACAGCTAATTAATTAAATAAAATTTTCTTGGTGATGGGATTAATTAGATTTTTCCCAGTTAATTTCAATGTACTGCCAAGGTGGAGAACTGCTATTCTGGACCTGGACGGATAGTTAACTCACTCAGTGTTTTAAAAATCACTTTCTGTGTGCTAGCACACTGTTCTAGGAGTAAATGTTTTTGTATTTTTTCTGATTTAATTTGTGACTGTTCTAAGGTAGGTATCTGATTTATAATTATAGAAATTGATGGGAGGAAAGAGAGAGAGAGAGATTGATTGATTGAGATCGATTAGAGTACTTAATTACTTTTCCAGGATCAAATTTCTGATGAGCGTGTCAGGATTTAACCTAGTCTAATGGATATTCTGTTCTTTACTATATACAGTTCTCACCTTGGTTACATGCTAAAATCAACTCATGTTTTTCTTTTGCCTGCAGTACTGGAGTTTGAATTTGGGTTTTGCATTTGCTCTGCCACTTGAGCCACACCTCTCTCTCTTTTTTTTTTTTTTTTTTTTTTGGTGTTTGGCGATACTGGGGTTTGAACTCAGGGCCTCATGCTTGCTAGGCAGGCACTCTACCACTTGAGCCACTCCACCAACCTTTTTTTTTTTGTAGCCCTAATCCTAGCCATAGCCCTAAAGACGTCAAAAGACAAGGCCAAGATCATGGCAGAGCCAAGACTTGAATTACTATTTAGTAATCATTTTGTCAGGCTAGTCTCTCAACTACCTATATTTTAGTAGTTCTCATGGCCATCTCTCAATGCAAGAGAGTCAGCAGTAGCAAGGGACATAATGTCATAGCTTAGTTTTTTTTAAGGAATGGCAGCAGTGGTAGTTCAGAGTAGAAGGAGGGGCTTTCATATTGAGCTGTGTAAACCACAGTTCCTCTGGTTCCTTTCTCCATGAATTCTACATGTAACACAGTGCTCCAGCATTCTCAGCATTAAATGTCTCTAGAAAGAACTCATCTCCCCAGAATGCTGCTAGAAAACTATTTTAGCATCTTCTTACTATACTTCTTAATTTTAGTATATCTTCTTACTATAGATTCAGATGTAGGATGGGTAGAATTCTGTCAAGCACAGTGCCTCTCAGTTGGGAGTAATTTTGCAATGTACAAACTATTCAAGGAATAGATGCTGTTTCAATGGCTCACCCATAGATAATGACCACTTCTTCCAGATGAAACCATGAACTACGCAATTTTTTCTACAATTTATGCTGCCTACTTTCTATATGTTCTACTTTTGCATTCTGTTATTTTGTATATATGCTTTGGGGAAAGTATTCAGACTAAGTAGGTAATACTGCCAATATGAATCTAGTTCTCTCTCTGGGCACCTGAATTGCCAATCTGGGGCCTCCTCTATGAAAGTCTCTGCCATCTATGGTATCAAAAAGTAATAAGTTGAGAATCATACCAAATCCTGGCTTTGATCTTAGATTTGGATAAATTATTTTCATTCCCCTTTGAGTAGCATTTTATTTCCAAAATTATTTTAATTTTTCAATGCTGGAATCAAAGCCAGGGCCTTGCACATACCAGGCAAATGCTCTATCACTGAACTGCACTCCCAGCCACTGTAATATTCATTTAATTAATTTTTTACATGAAGCCTTTTTTACATGAAACCTTGTTTCAGTTTCTTTACAGTTTGCTCTTTTTTCTGGCAATACTAAAGATTGAACTTTCTAGGGCCTTGCATTTATTAGGCAAGCTCTTTATCACTTGAACCATGCCCCAGTCCTTTTACTTTTAGTTTGTTTTTCAGATAGGGTCTCATGCTTTTGTCATGGGTAGCCTTGGATGGCAATTCTCTTACCTCTGCCTCATGGGTAGCTGGGATTACATGTGCATGCCACCATGCTTGGCCTACAGTTCACTTTAAAAGACTGTATGCCTGCCAGAATACCACTTGTTAAAATATCAAAATTTATGCATGGAAGGGAATCAGCATGGCATAATGATTTAATGCCCTGTTTCTGTGTATAAGTCTTAACTCCAGGGACTGGAGATGGCTCAAGTGGTAGAGCACCTGCCTAGCAACTGTGAAGCCCTAAGTTCAAATCCCAGTGCCACCAAAAAAAGTATTGTAAATCTCAACTCCATCAATTCTTAGCTATGTAGCCTTTGATTGAGCTGCTTGATCTCAATTAAACCTCAGTTTTATCATCTGTAAATGGGTTGTTTGTGACGATTAAGTGAAATAATTTTGTAAAAGAGCTTGTTACTGTGTTTGGCACATGATATTTCTTCATTCAGTACTGACTTTTATTATGATGACTTATGCTTTAAACTTTTTTTGCCAGAACATTTTTGCTAATTCATTAGATGATATTCTTGCCTCATTTCCTTATGACTAGTAGGGTACATCTCTGTTTAAATGTTGAATAGTGTAGTTTATAATTAGAGACTGGTAAACTGGTCAGAGGTGCTGGTTCAAATAAAAATTGAATTAATCACTACTTTGTTCACAGTAATACCATACTTTAAACAACCAAATAGTTCAAAGTAACTATGTAGTACCTTTGTTTTTTACTATACTGATTAAAAAGTTATGCTGTCCACATATATTCGGTAACATTAAACTACCAGAAATCTATTATCATTTGAGAGGTTCTTTCTCCATGAAGTAACTCAGTTCACTTTTTTTGTTGTTGTTTTTGTGTTTTTTTTAAGTGGTACTGGAGTTTGAACTAGGGCCTATACCTTGAGCCACTCTGCCAGCACTTTTTTGTGTTGGATGTTTTCGAGATAGGGTCTCATGATTTATTTGCCCGGTTGGCTTTGAACCATGATCCTCCTGCTCTCTGCCTCCTGCATAGCTAGGATTACAGGCAGGAGCCACTGGTGCCTAGCCAGTTTTGAGGTGTTAAAAATATAAATACACTGGGCTAGGAGTGTAACTCAAGTGGTAGAGCTCTTGCTTACCAAGTACAGGGCCCTGAGTTCAAACCCCAGTACTGCAAAGAAACAACAACAAAAAAAACACACTAAAATGAATTAATGTGAATAAAATAGTATCAAACAAAATTTCAAGGCATAAAAGATTTTCTACAAATGCTACTTATGTGGGAGTTAGAAGATAAGACTTCTGAGTTCAAAGTCAGAGACTCTGTGTAAGGAGGAGGAAGCAACTTTGCTTCCTTAGGGGTGAAGCTAGTACACAGATCAGGTATAGACCTGCTCCAAGGTCTTGTCTTCTTTGGGCTCAGATGCTTGGGCACCTGGGTGTGGGGATGGAGATCTTCGGGTCAGGGCTGTGAGTGGCTACCATGACCCTTGGTAGAGGAGCCTGCTTAAAGCTGAACACACTGTGATGCTTCCTGAAATAGTGACCAGAAACTGCAGGGAATTGTGACCTAGAGACATTTTGTAATTATTTCTACTTTTGAAGTATTTTGCAGTGGAACATGATATCTGTTTGGAAAAAGGCATTGTGATAATAATATATATTATTATTTGATGCCTTTTACTTTAAAACAATATTCACCTTTAACTTTCCCATTTTATTCTTACAATAACCTTTTGAAGTAGGACGGTTATTCAGTAAGCTGAGCATTTGGTTCCTTCTAAAATTCCCTCTGAGCATATGGTTCCCAGGCCACTTTGGTAGTTCCTAAGGTTCTGGTCATTATTTTGAAATGTTCATCTGTGGTCATTTAAGACTTAAGCCTTTGCTGAAGGACATTCACAACTGAGCATATAAACCATGGAGGTAGTTTTAAGCCTTCCTAGGAGTTTCCTTTTACTTGGCAGGAAAAGAGGCTATACCCCTTCAGGGCTCTCCATATCTTCTTTAGGTACCCTTATGTTATCATAAAAACCCAAGTGCTGCTTTCAGTGACTCCTGTAGTTCTCTCCCTTGAGTGCTACTTGGGTTCACCTGGAGAGAATCTCCCTAATGTGGCTGTACACCTGCTCTAAGACAGGTGTATTAAAAGGTATCAACAAGAGAACTTTGCCTGGTTTGGTTCAGGTAGTTCTGTTGTGAGTACTGTTGTGTTCTGGGGATGAGGAGAGGAGGTGGTTATTACAGGAGGATCAGATAATTTCTGACCTATTAATTAAAAAAAAAAAAAAAAAAACTTTGATTCTCTTGTTTTCTAGGGATTGTTCCCTGAAGGGGAGACCATTTCATCTCTTCCGCTTACTCATCCAATACCATGAGCCTGAGCTTTGTTCTTTACTTGATACAAAGAAAATTACTCCAGACTCCTATGCACTCAACTGGGTAATAAAGTGAAAGTAGGAACACTTAATGAAAAATAGTTTATGTAAAACCATAGTTAGGAAGTGCTTTTTTTTCCAAGGATAAGTAAAAATGTTCTAAATTATGGACCATTACTACTTAACTCAAAGAAGTAAAGTTACTGGCACTTCAAAATAGCTTTTTTTGCCCTTCAATTATGTTCCAATTATTTGATATTAAGTTTAGCCTTTTGTTTTACACATATGTAGAAATAGAACTAATGTATATTTAGTATATGTTAATGCATGTTATATATTAATTTATATTTATGTACTTATTAATTAAATATAGTAATATATTTAATACATATTTCTGCAAATATATGCACATAAATATGTAATATATATCAGTTAAACTAAAAACTGTCTTTAAATTGATGTTGTGTGTAAGAATTGGTAAATGATCAGGGAGAGAATTAAAAAATTAAAATGGTTAATATTTGTATTTTCTTTTTTTTTTCCCCTTAGGGAGACAGATTTGATATTATTTGTATTTTCAATGGAAAGTCTTATTGTATGTCAGTGGTTCTCAAACATTTGGTCTCAGAATCCATATACTCTTTGTTTGATGGTTTGAGACAGGGTCTTATTGTGTAGTCCAGGCTGGCCTACAATTTGCTGCGTAGCCCAGGAAACATCGTGAGTGCTGAGATTACAAGAATGTACCACCACATCTGGCGGGACCCCTTCCACTCTTAAAATTTGCTGATGTCACATCCTTTATGTGGATTATGTTGATTAGAAAATAAAACTAAGGAATTTTACATATTCATTTAATAGTTCATTTAGAAGTAATGAAAAATCCATTACACGTTGACATAATTAGCCTATTTTTAAATGAAGAAGAACTATTATTTTCCAAAAGAAAATTAATGAGAATACTGGCATTGTTTTATATTTTTGTAAATCTCATTGTGTTTGCATAAATCAAACTGTGTCTTTGTTAAATTTCTGATGATATGATCTATGCTTCTCAGAATTCTGATGCTCATTTATGAGGGAATGAGTATGAAATAGGCAGGTAAAAGTCTAAGTATTATTATGATGATAGTTATGACCTCACTGACACTCCAGTAAAGAGTCTTAGAGCTTTTTAGGGTCCTCAGTCCATACTTTGAGAATTCCTGTCCTAGGTTAACTTAAAGATGTTTGTAAAATAATGATTGGGTATTAGCAGACTATTAAAAATTAAACATATTCTTTGATCATGTCTTACCTAACTTTTCCATAGGAAGAATTCCATTTCTGCTGTTACTAACTGTGTGATCTAAGACACTTTGCTTCTGAACTTCAGTTTCTTTATTTGTAAGATGGTAATAATAAGCAAATCTATCTCAGAGGATTATGGGATGAGTTAGCAATCGGAAAATGGTAATTAGAGAATCCTAAATGGCTTTACTTCTGGATACAATAAATCTCAAATTTCATTAGCCTATTCCTTAGTTCTCTCTTGGCCACAGTATTATAAGTTTGAGTTAAAACAATAAAATACCTGTAAAACTCTAGCTTCTCTGAAATTAATATACTACCATTAAATCGAGTTATTTATGTTAAAGCAAGAAATTGCTTCTCTTACCATTGTAATTAGTAGAGGTTTCTCTGCCTAGGAAATGCTGTTGCTGTTGCCAGAACTCTGAATAAACACTGCTGTTTCAGGGTGTTTAAACTGAGTACTAAAACAACTGGTTTATCTCTAGCTCTTGTGCCAAGTAGTTCAGTTCATTTTTGCTCTATTATCATGTTGATGAAATGGAGGTTTTTTTTTAATCATGAGATGAAACAAACTAGTATCTAAACCTCAAGAACCTATAACAATAGTAATATAATGGTCCTTTTAGCTTAGCTGAAGTTAAGGATGGCTATATAAAACTATTCTCTTGGTATTTACATCTTCTAGTTTGTATTTGTAATAGTAATTTTTCCAACATCATCTAAAGTCACTAGCAGCATTTTGTACTTTCAAAGTGATTTTTTAAAGCAATTACATGGGCTGTCGAGTTTCAGGCTTTTTCCTAGTTTCAACACTATAGCTCACTACCTCTATTAGCTTGGGAAAGTTATTTGATCCATGTCTAGTGCCTCGCCTGTAAAGTGGGGAGAATATATCTATTTTGTATGCCTATTGTGAAAATTAAAGATAATAAACAGTAATGTGACAGTAGCTTGGTTCCTGGCACAAAGTATGCTCTAAATGTGTTCCCATTAGTTTTAGTTATTGAAGCTGTTATAAATATCCTTTAGTTGGAATTGTTTCTGAATCTAATGAAAATTGGATATCTAATAAAAACATCACTAAATTCGTGTAGTTTAAAGCACAGTTGAGCCATACAGAAACTTAGAAATTAATAACTCCTTTATTTGAAGCACAAAACTATAGAGCTCCTGAAATCTATTGAAGGATATGAATTTTGTTTTATCTGGTTCAGATGATTTATAAATTATCTTTGGAAGCAATTCACATATTATAATTTTATTAGGTGCTCTTAAGTTACTGTGTTTGAGCCTCACAAGTGCCTTGTATTTTGAACACTGTGCTCTAATTACTAATAATTATGCTAGCTACCCTTCTAGAACTCTGTAGGTAATTATACTAGTTATGCTATGGCAGAGACATGAGTTAAATTACTTTAGCTATTCTAGGTTAATTGTCTTTTTTCACAACAGTGTTAAGAAGAAATGGAAGTTTTAAGTGAGATGCCGTAAGTCACATAGCTCATTGTGCCTTGAATACATAGCTTTTGCCTTTGAATTTCTTGTACTAAAGTTAAGGTGCATGTTAAGTATCAGATGCAGATAACTTGATATATTATTTGTTTATTTGCTTTAATACTTTTAAAAACCCAACTCAGCTCCAGTGGTTTATGTCTCTCATTTCATTTCCTGATTACAGCTTGGAAGCCTTTTTGCATATTACTGTTCCATTGAAGTCACTCAGGCAATATGGGATGGATATCTACAACAAGCAGATCCATTTTTTATTTATTTCTTAATGTTAATTATTCTTGTTAATACAAAGTAAGTATCAAATTAGTTATATTTTTCTCCTTATTTTCTCTCAGGGTGTTCTGTAAATATTTAACTCATTGATTTCCTTTTACAGAGAATTTATTTTAGCACAAGAATCAGACAGCAAAGAAGAAGTTATCCGTAAGTATTATTTAATACAGAAAAAATATTTCAGATCACATAATCTGTGTAAAACTCAGTTTCCTCATCCATAAAGTTAGGAGATTAGCATAGAAGAACTCTGGAATTCCATTCATCTCTCGTATTCTTTAAATATTCTCTAGGTATAGAACTTAAAGACGGTTTTCTGTAAAGCATAAGATTTGTCAATGTCACTTACTCTTTCATGTAGTTTCATTCTTTCCGTATACTATTTCTTTTTTTCAGTGTCCATATAGAATGTCCTCTGCTTTCTGTCCCTACAGCTTAGTGGAGCTTTTAATACTCAGTTTACAATCCCAATTGTGAAGCTTTGGTTCTCCTTCTGAGTTCTCCCCATTCTAGCCCCATATGGGGACAGCTACTTCCTCTCTATATTGTCTGATACTTTGTACTATAATGATGTTTATCGTACTACATTAAAAAATTTTTTTTCTCACAAAAGAGTTAGTCTTGTAAGTCAGGGACCATTCTTACTCATTTTTTATTTCTAGGGGCTCTGGCATTTCATATGTTTGTTGAATAAATAAGAGAATTCTTGTTAAAGCTAATCAATTTTGTTTGATTATCTGACCATCCTTCATGAATAGGAGAATTGCATTAACAGTTTCAGTTCCCTTGAGGAAATCCATTTCTCACAAGCAGCTTTAAAAGCACCACTGTAAGGATGTGTGTAGTCAAGTGGTAAAGTGCTTGCCTAGCATGTGCAAGGCCTTGAGTTTGATATCCAGTACCACACACAAAAATAAAAGTTCATAAAAGCATCACTGTTAAGATTCCATTTATATAGCATTTATTATGTTGAAATATTTTAGTTTTGAACATAAATGGTATTGTATTTTCACAATTTGTTAAATGCTGCCACATTTATAATTGTATTTCAGGATTCTTGGAAAATACGCCATCAAGTTTGAATATAGAAGATATAGAAGACCTTTTCTCTCTGGCTCAGTATTATTGCAGTAAAACACCAGCTTCTTTTAGGAAGGTAAAAGACAAGAAATGATTGGATTTTCTGTATTTCACATTTGTATATTGTTCTGTTATTCACTTCAATTAAAATAGTTCAAATTATCATTCTTTTCTGTCTGTTGATGTCAGTTTCATATGATTTTTCACTGTAAAATCTCTCCCCAGTGAGAAACAGATAGATTAGAAATGATAGTGAGAACCAGCTTACTTTTGTTCTGATTATTAGCTATTTCTGACCATGTAAAAATTGACTGTGTGATGTTTCCTAATTTAGTGCTTTTGTGACTTCAAAAATTGTATTACAGTCGAGCGCTGGTGGCTCACACCAGCTAATCGTAGCTACTTAGACTGAGACTGGGAGGATCATGGTTCGAGGCCAGCCCAGGCAAATGTTTTTCAAGGCACCCTTCTCCAAACCATAGAGAAATGGACTGGGAGTTGGCTTAAACAATAGAGTGCCTGCTTTCCAAGCTCAAAGTCCTAAGTTCAAACCCTAATCCCACCACAAAAAAAAAAAAAGATGTATTGCAGAGAACAAATAGAGGATATATGTAGTTATATAGTTAAAGCATCCTTTATTTGGAGTTCTGCTCTGGACAGCCTTAGTAATGCAGAACTGTCCTATAAACAAAACCAGAGTCATTTAACCCCTTAGAGACCTAGATCTATAGGCTAAGTAGATGCTTTCAATAAAGGACACCAAATTAGAAACCTGAGTTGTAAGAACTCCTAGGAAATAATACTCCAGGAGGCAAGAGCTGTTATGAGGAGGCATACATGATTGCTTATAAAGCACATAGTTAGTCTGTGACTGCAGTGGCCCATGAGAGCATTTTTAAAAACATTCTGCCATAATAATTTCTAGTTGGTGTCACCATGTCACTGAAATGTCAAGATTAGGTTAAATTATATTCAGTTATGTCTCAGAGGCAAATAAGGTTAGCCTTTAAGAACATTTCCAGGAGAGGGAATAAGAGAGGGAAATTGGGGCATGAATAGGATCAAAGTACAATATATGCATATAGCAAAATGTGAGACAGAACCCCATTATTTTGTACGACTAATATATGTAGAAAAAGTATCTAAATGAACAAAAAAGAGCATTTCCTTCAAAATAAGATTTGTTCCTAGGGATCAATTTCAGCTATTTTAAAATTCATTTTTATAGCTCACTTTAGTTTTACAGTGTTAGGTAAGTCAGATGATGCAATAGTGGTTTGCAACAGGTTGAAAAAGAAGTTTCTTTTTCTTTTTTGATGTTTTAAGAGGAGCACCTTTTGACTGGGCATTGTGGCTCATGGTATAATCCCAGCTACTTGGGAGGCAGAGATCAGGAAGATCACAGTTATCAGGAGAATCACAGTTTGAGGGCAGCCTGCGCAAAAAGTAGGGAGACTCCTTTTAGCCAATAAACTGGGCATAGTGTTACATGTCTATAATCTTAGCTACACAGGAGGCATAGATAGGAGCATCGCTGTTTGACCCAGGCAAAAACGTGAAACCCTATCCGAAAAATAACTAAAGCAAAAAAGGGCTGGGGGCATGGCTTAAATAGTAGCGTACAAGCCTAGCAAGTGCAAGGCCCTGAGTTCAAACCCCAGTACCACCAAAAAAGAAGCACCCTTTATTCTTCAGACATAGTAAATAATCTGAAATAGCAGTTGCAAATTAGACTCAGCTGTAGATGAGTACATTACATAACTTATATAATTATTTCATAATATATTTCTGCCACATTTTGTTTTTATTATCATGAAAAGTTGAAGGCAAGCTTTTTTTCCTTTTGCGGCACTGGAATGCCTCAAGCATGCTATGTAAGCACTGTACCACAGATATACCTCTCCAGCTCCTAAAATTTAGTATGTAATGATAGATGATGGTATAGAAAATAGCTGTGAATGGTTTTTTGGTTCTTTTTTTTTAGCCTTTTATTTTCTGTGAGTGCTGATGGAGACTTTTTTTAGATTTTAGCCCATAAAATTTGAGATTATATAAGCTTTAAAAATCAAAGACTTAAAGAGGCTACATAATTATGTCTCATATTATCACGATTTAATAAGAATGTTTTTAGGAAGAAAGTTTTTATTTTTCTTTGTAATATTTAAAAATTTCTCTTTGAATAGGATAATCACCATCTCTTTGGTAGTACTTTGCTGGGAATTAAGGATGATGACGCAGATCTGAGTCAGGCTCTTTGTTTGGCCGTCTCAGTGTCCGAGATTCTTCAAGCAAATCAGCTGCAAGGTGTAAGTAAAGGAAACCCATTTGTCAGGCGATTATACCTTTGAAATATAAGGAATTGGGGTTGGGCCATAGCTCAGTGGTAGAGCACATGTTGATTATCTAGAAGGTCCTTGTGTTCAGTCCCCAGCACCAAAAATAAAAGAAGAACCAGCATTTTCTCCGTATTTATTGATTCCCACAAAATTAATTTATTTTAACAATGTAGCTGTTTTTGCCTTTTTGATAGTATGTTAAATCTTCTGCTCATTTGGTCATTTTTAAACTGTCAGCTTGTGTGTTATTTTAATTGTCAAAAATTTTTTTTCTTTATTGTGCTGGGTGGTGGTACATTGTGGCATTTATAAAGGTTGTTACACACACATACATGTACAGGAAAGCAATGTGAGTCAACTCCCTGTATAGCTAACCTTATCTCAACTAGCAAAAACCCTTGTTCCTTCCTATTATTGCTTATACTCTCTCTTCAACAAAACTAGAGATAAGGGCAAAATAATTTCTGCCTGGTAGACGGGTACAGGGGGTGGGTAAGGGAGGGAGCAGGGGAAGGGGGGAGAAATGACCCAAACATTGTATGCACATATGAATTTAAAAAAAAAAAAAGATTGTTACAATGTATCAACTGTATCATACTTGAATTCACCCCTTAATTGTCAAATCAATTATTTTTGTTACTCTTGACACCCATTTTTGCATATAGCCTTTAAAAAAATGTTTCAGCAACAGCAACTGAATATGGCATTGTATGAAGTACTTAAAGGGGTGAATTTAACATTTAACAGTTAAATTCTGGGTAATTATACAGCTAATTGGATTTCATAGTTTAGTGCCATAAAACTAGCAAAGAAAAATTCTCAAAATATACCATAATTTTCTTTGCATTTTGTGCTTCATGAAATTATAATGAGCCAGTATGACCAGTGATAGTTTTCAGAATATGCTGTTTGTTACTTGTAGAACCATAGTTAGCTTTGTGCAGGTATTATTTGGAAGGTGAGGTGTATTTCCAAGGTGTACCTAAGAGAGGATGGATATGGGAAGATGGGCTTCTTACAGTACATCTCAGTTGGACTTCTTACAGTATTGTACTGGTTGTTCAGAATTTTTGAAATACAAGGATCTTAACATTTTTCATATTAGAAATATTAAAAAGGAACATACAGGGGTTGGGGATTTAGCTCAGTGGAAGAGCGCTTGCCTGGCAAGTGTAAGGCCCTGAGTTCGGTCCCAGCACCGAAAAAAAAAAAAAAAAAAGGAACATACAAGCCAGGTTAAAGAGAGCCGTATGAACTCCCTCCTTTCACACGCAAGAAAGACATTTAGTCCTTATATGAATTAAGTTTGTGGAATTACTTGGGCAAATAAGAATAGTGTATCTTATTTGTGCTAAATAAATAATAATAAAAGTTGTCATATTCCAATATATTTAGTTTTGTATCTCACACTATTATTCTCTTGCTACATATTTTAAGACTTTCAAGAACAGTACATAAAATATGTGTTAACTGTTTAAAAATGAGTAAGTGTTAGGACCTTAAGAAGTTTTTGTGTGTGTTTCTATACAAATTAGGTCCTCCTAATTCTATGTAAAACCTATTTTTTTTATAAACCTTTTGCTCCTTTTTGGTTTATTGGTACAGTTGTGTAATGTGAACCTCATGTCAGATTCCAGTGTGTCAAATGTTGTTTCCCTTTTAGGAAGGAGTCCGGTTCTTTGTGGTGGATTGTCGTCCTGCAGAACAGTATAATGCTGGGCATTTATCAACTGCCTTCCACTTAGATTCTGATCTGGTTAGTAGAAATGCTATTACATTTTTCATAAGAAAGAAGATTTTTTTTCTTTAGCTATAAATAAGTGCACATGTCCCAGATTGGGGATGTTTTTCTTTTTTTAAGGAGGGAGGGAGTCTCTTTCCTTCTACCAAAGGTTGCTCTCAGGTTTCCTTTCCACCCAAGACACCCTTTGGTTGTCGTAATGGATAAGTGAAAGCTGTTAATTATGGCTTACTATTGCTTATCATTGTTATGTCAGCAGATTCTAAACTTACCATGAGTTAACTGACAAATCAATTAGCATCATGCCTTGCACCAAGTATGCTATAAATAACTTTTATTTTGACTGGATAAGAATTCTAAAAGCTTTTTCTGTGAGCCATTTTTAGAATCGTGAGTATTTAATATAATATGTAATAAGGGTGGTATCTGACATATAAGTGCTCAGTTGTTAAAATTACAATCCTAGGGTAATTACAGTTGAATGAGTGGATAAAGTAAATGAAGATTGTCAGAGATGTTTAGAGTTGTTGGTAGATCTGACTGGTATCATTTAAGCTGTTCTAATGTCACTAGAGCCTCAGGGATGAGGAAAGCAGAAAGAGCAATGGAGTGATAACATCCCCTCCATTGCTAAATATGCAGTTTACCATTATCCTTCCTATCCTGTCTGAAGAAGTTGATGCTGAGGCTAAACAGATGTAGAAGGGCCTAGGTGGTATTGAGAAGAAACTAATGGAAAATGGAGGTAGGAGAACTCAGAGTTTTGCACCCTGTAGGTGAAAAAGGCCATCCTAGCTTGTTTGCATCCTATAAATGAATTCTTCACTGTTCTATTCCTTGATTCCTCTCTTGTATTTATTTTAAAAATTTACTAATGTGATTCATGAATGCCTTCATTTTCACAAATTAAAAAATTTTTTTTGAAGAATATCCCTAAAGTTAACTATTATCAGCTTGTTTAATCTCCAGACTTTTATATATATTTACATATTTTTTTTTGCTACTTGCTTTTTCACTTAACAGTTTTTTAATAAAAATTAAATATACATATTTAATGCTGCATAGGGCCCATGGTATAAATGAACCATAGTTTATTGCCTAATTAATGTACATTTGGATTATTTTCAGTTTTCTTATAATAAACAATGTTATAGTTAGTATCTTTATACATATTTTGTGAACTTACACAAATGCATCCTAAAATAGATTCTTAAAGTATAACTGTTATTGGTTGAGGCGATATGAATTTTACTAGTGACCACCTCATTGCTCTTTAAAATGCTTGAATTACCTTGTTTCACACATAAATGAGAATGGTGTTTCTTATCATCAGCATTATTGGATATTATCAGTACAGCTGGGGATTTGAATTTAGGGCCTTGTGCTGGACAGGCAGACTCTCTACCACTGAGCCATGCCCTTGGCAGTTTTTTGCTTTAATTATTTTCAGGTAGGTTCTTGCACTTTTTGCTTGAGAGAGTGAACTGGGATCTGCATCTCTCATAAACTGAGTTTATAGATATAAGCCAGTGTGATTGGCTTGTTTGTTGAGATTGGAGTCTCACTAACTTTTTTCATAGACTGCCTTGAACTGTGATCATCTCTATCTTTGCCTCCAAATCAGGATTCTCAGTCTTTTTGTTTTATAAGAATGGTGAGTGAAAAATGGTTGCAATTACTAGTAAAGTAGAACATCTCCCTGTCTCCCTCCCTCCCTTCCTTCCTTCCTTCCTTCCTTCCTTCCTTCCTTCCTTCCTTCCTTTCTTTGCTTTTCCATATGGTCTGTCTTTTTTTTCTATTGGATTTAATAAAATCCAGTAGATGGATTTTATATGTGTGGCCCAATTATAACAGTTTTATTAAATTTTATTAAAATTTTTGTAATTCTTTACTTGTTCCTTGTACATAAGAAATGAATTTTTCATCCTTTTATTGCCACTACCTTATGTAGTATTGATAAATAAATGGCTTCCACTATTTCTGACTAAAAGAAGTAATGGTTTTCTTTGTAATTGGAAACCAATAAATAGAGCTGTTTTGATCTATTGGTTTTAGTTATGGGCCCTTTCACTCAGTGTTTTTTTTCCACTCTGTTTTTGCCATCATGCCTAAGTATAGACACTGTAGCTAGTTTGTTATATAAGAAAAAACTTGACTGGCTGTTGTGGCTCATGTCTGTAATCTCAGCTACTTAGGAGGCGAGATCTGGAGGACTGAAGTTTTGAGGCCAGTCCAGGGAAATATTTAAGACTCCATTTCAACCAATAAGCCCAGGAGTGGTGGCAGGCACCTTTCATTCCAGCTATGTGGGAAGCGATAGTTAGAAGGATCGTGATCCCAGTCAAAAATGGGCACCTTGTCTAAAATTAGATAAAGTAAAATAACTAACCTAAAGCAAAAAGGGCTGAAAGCATGACTCAAATGGAAGAGCACTTGCCTGGCAAATGATAAGGCCCTGAGTTCAAGCCCCAGTACTTCCACAAAAAAAAAAAATAAATTTTTTTTTCTCTAGTACAACTGTATTTTTTGCATAATATTTCTGCAAATTTTCAACTTTTGTGCTAATCTATCATAGATACATATTTCTCTTTTCCCACAGATTTTATTTATAGGAGCCCTTTATTTTTCCCTTACTTTCAGTGTGGCTCTTTAAGTCTCAGATTTTTTCATGGAAAAATATTTCAAGTTTTGCAAATGTATGTGAAATACAGACTTGCCAATCTTTTTATTTTTTTAAATTTTCCAGATGCTCCAGAATCCATCCGAGTTTGCACAGTCAGTGAAGTCCTTGCTGGAAGCACAGAAGCAGTCCATTGAGTCTGGCTCCATAGCTGGTGGGGAGCACCTGTGTTTTATGGGCAGTGGCAGGGAAGAAGAAGACATGTATATGAACATGGTCCTGGCACACTTTTTACAGGTATGCTGATGATTTGCTTGGCTATTGCTGTGACCTTGGAGATACTCACATAGATAATTTTTTACTTTTATAGACACTATCGGATTTATCTGTATGTTTCTTTATAACTTTTTAGTTTTGTGCTTGCAATGAAAGGTCATTTTGTTCACCAGATTTTTCTCATGCTTATATGGCTTATTTTTTATATTTTAAGTTTTGAACCATCTGGAATTTATTTTTGTATAAGAAGTGAAGTAATAATCAAAGATTTTTTTTTCAGATTGGAATTATTTTTGTGCTATCAATTTGAAATACCACCTTTTTAATATTCTAAATTCCATTAAGTATCAGGATCTGTTTCTGGAACATTCTGTTGCATTGATCTATATCCCTATCCATGCTCTAGTACTTTTCATAATAGTCATATAATTTATTTTAATATCTTCACTTTTGATTTAGATAAATAATGCACACATATTTATTCATGACACTTATCTGTCTTTCAATTTGTGTTTGAGTATTGTCTTCACATCTGATTTGTATTAGTGGTTTTATGCAACATGTATCTCTGCTTTCTTTCAGTGTTTCAGTCAGTGATGGCTTGCCTTTATAAAAAAAAAATTGTTTTTGAAGTTTATGAAGTATTCCTTGGTAGTTTATGCAGTGACGTCCTCACATTGTGTGATCCTAAACTATGGAATGAGGAAGACAGTAGGCTTAGTATTATACAGGTCACTCAATTTGGATTCATTTCTATTTATGATTTGTTTTACTGGGAATCTGGTTTGAGAAAATTATTTTAAAGGTAAAATCCTTTAAACAAGTAAAGAGAAAAAACAAAGTATTTGGAAAAGGGATTATCAGGTGATTTTAAACCATCTTAAATGAAAGAGTTTAGAAACTTATACAGAGTAACAAATATTTAATTGGCCTATTTTTAAAATGCTTCAATATAAACTATATTGTAAGAGCTGTCATAGGAAGAGTTTGTGGTATATAAACTTTGTTTCTTTTAACAACAATAATAATAATGTTGAAATTCTTGATGGAGTTGTAGAGATTTTCCCCTAATTTTTATCATGAAAAATTTCAAGAAAATGCAAAATGGGAGAATTGAGTTCTATAAACTCTTTGTAACATAATCACATTGTCATACTTTATTATAAAAAAGAAATCCAACTCGTGTTCCAAGTTTCCGTGAGTTTTCTAGAACACAAAACAAGGCATTGCGTTTGATTTTTTTTTTTAGTTCCTTTTAATTTATGGCTTCTCTTTTTCTAATTGTTTTCCTTGTATATATTTGTTGAAAGTAACCCAGTTAATTTGTCTGTATAGAGTTTTCACATTTTGGGTTTTGCTGATTACATTCACATATGATTTCTTTGAGAACACAGTTTTTTAATGTAGCCCAGGCTGGCTTGGATCTAGCTATGTAGCTCAGGCTGTCCTCAAACTCACAATCCTCCTGCCTCAGCCTCCATAAATTTTAGGATAACAGTATGTGTCACCATGCCCTGCTCCATATATTTTTAGTAGTTTGCAAAATAGTAACACTATGACAGTTCTTTTTCATTATCAGGTATTATATTTCTTTTTATATTAGCTTTTTACTAAAGACACAAAATACTTGGAAAGCTTTTAAAAATTACTTTGATTACATCTTAAATACAATATGATTAAATTTGGTTTGGCTTTTGCATTGCTATGACAATAACAATAAAAACTCACAACGTGTTCTATTTATAGTGTTAAAGTTGTCCTCTTCTTTCTGCCCAAGCACCAGACTTTAAAGTATACTAGGTTAATGTAGATACCACTCTGTGCCAAGGTCCAAAATGTCAAGGAAAACAAAAAATCCAGAAATGTAATATATAACATGTATTATGTTTGTCAGTGTTTTAGAACTATCTGAAATATTAACTTGCATTTTGGAATGATGTAATTTTATCTTTTATTGCAGAAAAACAAAGAATATGTGAGTATTGCCAGTGGAGGATTTATGGGTAAGATTTTAATTTATTAGTTTTCTTTGTCTCCATTTTTCATAGAAAATTATAGTGGTTATCAGCAGATCTGCTTTGGAGTGACCAAATTAGTTATTGGGTAGATTCTCTCTTAGTCGTTCAGTATTTGCAGAAAAGACAAGGTTAGCAAAACATATAGATTAAAACTATGTAGCCAATTGAAACGGGTGAATATTTGGTAAAAGACTATTTAAGAGCCCCTCCAAAAATATTTTTACAAAAATTCATGAAAATCTACCCATATTGTTTGCACCTGTGCAAAGAAGAATTTGATAGGCTAGGAAATAAGAGTTGGAGAAAATACTTTCAAAGTTTACTCTTTGTACTAATTAGGTATTTTTTATCATTTTATTTTTTTTAACTACTTGAAGGAATAAACTGGTAAGAAAATATTGGTATATATGGAACAAAATAGGCTGACAGTTTCAAATCCATTATAGTCAATAATTGGCAGAGTCTTTGCAGGTAAGTTTCTATAATGTATGAAAGATTAGGTCAGTGTAATAAGATTTTTTTTTTAAAGCCTGTCTTACATTAGGAAAAGAGATATCATAAAAATGTAGAACTGTCAATTCTAGGAGAAATTAATGATAAAATAAAATCAATATATATGGAAGGTATATGAGTTTTAATCATAGGTATCTTAACCAGGAGTAAGTTCTGACCTCATCTAATTTTATGCTGTAACTTAGAATTTTTGTTAAATTAGTATCTATTTTCTGTTGGTCTTTGTTGATATTTGTAAGCATTTTGATTATTTCCTGTATATATTATGGCTTGAGAACTAATTACCTTTGAGGCTCATACCCAGAGTTTTATCTACAAAAGGTATTATTTTATTAAGTATTAATAACAAGTGTTGGTGCAGGAATCCTGATAACATGATACAGAGCTTGGTTATTAGGCATATACATCTCAAAAGTATCTGAATAACATTATGTTTTAGTTTATTCTAGATTTTTTGTTGTTTTTTTGAGACAGGGTCTTGCTGTGTGGCCCAAGCTGTCCTGAAACTCTTGATTCTCCTGCCTTAGCCTCCTGAGTGAGGATTATAGACATGTATCATGATACCCAGTTAGTCTATATTCTAGAATAAACTGCATTTTAGAAACTTTTTAGAAAGTATAAATTCTTTTGTACTATGAATAATCTCTCTTTCCATAACTTTTAATGCTTAAGACTGCTTTATCATGGGAAAAATTGGTTGATGTCTTCTTATGGTATAACAAAGCTTCTATAGATTTTTCCCTGATGTCATAAAAATCTTGCAGAGATTGTCCATTAATACTTGAACAGTTGCCTTCCAAAGAGGAAAACATAAAGCCTTTATAGTCATCATTCCTCAGGACAGTTAAGAAAAGTTACCTCTTTGTAGAGGGCTTTGGAAGGACAGAGAAGAGAAGAAACAAAGTTTGTCATGGCCCGAGGCCTTTACTCCTGTATTGGGGTGCAAAAAGAAATACCTGTGGTTATATCCTTGAGTCCTTTCACACTCAGCAATGACATGTTTATTATACTTTTCTGGTAACGAATCTTTCCAAAAGTTTAGGTTTTGTTGTTTTGTTTTCTTGTTTATCTTAAGCACTGCACAGCACCTGGCAGATATTAATGTGGATGGGCCAGAAAATGGATTATGGCCATTGGATTGCTAGTACTTCTGGCTCAAGGAGCAGCATCAACTCTTCTGTTGATGTAAGTATATGTAATAAAATAGTCACCAAAGTTTGATCAGTTCCCAGAAAAGGTAATAACTACCAAACTCCCATCGTAACAGAAATGGAGTAAAAAAATATTTCAAACACAGCAATGAGAAGTTCTGTTATTGCAAGGGGAAGGAAATGATGGACTGAGCTTGTACAACTGAACTAGGTAGAACTCTTTAAGTGAGCTGATTACAGTAATCTCCCAATTCATTTGGGCAAGAGATAGGCAGGCTTATTTCACATCTCGCTGCACACTATCTCTATTCCTCACCACTACAAGTTTACACAGCAAGACTTCAGACTATTCACACATGAGAGTGGGCTAGACAGAGAAAGACAGA